AAAGCCATCAGGACAGACAAGTCAGCGGAAGGCTCAGTTATGTTAGAAGAGGGAATAAAAGATGGCAGGGAGGGAAGGAAACAGAAAGAAAATGGGATAGGAAAGAAAAGACTACTTTGAGTATTTTGATAGCAACTTGCATTATGGTAAAAGTCATACGGAACACAGGATGTAAAATTTTGGGGGTAAGGGAATCTCTTCTAGGTGAATGTAAGGGACGCTGAAGTAACGAGACAGTGACATGTATTTTGTTTGATGGGCAAAACAAGGTTTACAGTACAGACTCAAAAACCTACTCATAAAGTCAGCGTACTTCATGCAATGGACAAAAGCGGCCCTACTAAAGGACCCACCAGTTGACTTCATTATCGGAAACATTAAGGGGACGACCATGGCAAGTGATACCAATGTGGTGATCATGGGAAGTGATACCAAAGTGGCGACCATGGAAAGTAATACCGAAGTGGCGACCATGGGAAGTGATATCAAAGTGGCGACCATGGCAAGTGATACCAATGTGGCGACCATGGGAAGTGAAACCAATGTGGCGACATTGGAAAAAAATACCAAAGTGATGACCATGGGAAGTGATACTAAAGTGGTGACCATGGTAAGTGATACCAAAGTGGCGACCATTGGAAGTGATACCAATGTGGTGATCATGGGAAGTGAAACCAAAGTGGCGACCATGGTAAGTAATACCAAAGTGGCGACCATGGGAAGTAATACTGAAGTGGCGACCATGGCAAGTGATACCAATGTGGCGACCATGGGAAGTAATACAAAAGTGGTGACCATGGGAAGTGAAACCAATGTGGCGACATTGGAAAAAAATACCGAAGTGTCGACCATGGGAAGTGATAATAAAGTGGTGACCATGGGAACTGATACCAAAGTGGCGACCATGGGAAGTGAAAGTGATACCAATGTGACGACCATGGGAAGTAATACCAAAGTGGCGACCATGGAAAATGGTCAGTAGAGATTAACTTGACTGAGGCGTATGGAAAATGGTCAGTAGAGATTGACTTGACTGTGGCGTATGGAAAATGGTCAGTAGAGATTGACTTGACTAGGGCGTTTGGAAAATGGTTACTAGAGATTGACTTGACTGAGGCGTATGGAAAATGGTCTGAAGGAGATTGACTTGAATAGGTGCATGGACAATGGTCAGGAGAGTTTGAGTTGTTTGGTAAAACAACACATAACGGAATCAATATTGAATCATATTGTAAAACGATTTGACTCTTATACGTACACACGAGCACCCTTTGAGACACATTCGGACGTATACACAAGCATGTTTGCAGTTGCCCTTGCACAAAATGTGAGGTCTGCAATTGAACATTGAAACTATTCTAATCTACTGTGGCGTTTGCAGTTGTTCATTTAAACAAGGCTAATCTATCCGTCTCGTAATTTAATGATAAGACAATATAATGCCAATTGCATGTTAGTTTTCAACGAAAAACCATAAAACATTGTAGAAAGGTATTAAAACTATAAATAAGACATTTTAAACGCACCCTAGGGTGTTAAGTTGACCATGTATTAAGTGTCAAATGAGGTGAGGGGGACGTCCACCTATTACCGCATATGTTCTTCAATAATTGCCTATGTCCACCTATGTCCTCATATTCACCTATGTCTGAATATCCTCGGCTATATCTATCTACCTTTGTCCGCCATGTCCATCTATGCCCGCCTCAAAAGCAAAGTTTGTGATATTAAGTTTAAACTTGTTTTAAAAAAAATAATATCTCTTAATTTTAACATATTTTTTTTGCAATACAAATGTCAATTGTAACGGTCAACTGTGACTGTATTAATTATAATTATGTTAACTGTGACCATGTTAATCGTGACTATTATAAAGGTGACTATTTTAACAGCGCAATGTTATCTGTGACTGTAAATTTAATTAAAATGATATAAAATTGTTTTAGGTACACTTTTGGGAGGGACAGAAGATACTTTGGAAATTGTTATGCTCGTTTAATTAGAGATATATTACCTTTTCAAACATACTTCTTCTAATATTGTTTGATAGACTAATTTTGTTTTCTTCTTCTTCCATATCTTAAGGACCCACGATCAATTTCTTGATCATTTTGGCTCCTATGCATGTAGATGGGATTTGCAATGTTTCTGTTCCTGGTGTTGATGAAGAAATTTCACAGATTTCCAGTGCCACATTGTGAGGGAATCATGCACTAGGGGTTTGAAGGCTTGAGGCAATAGACACACATGTGTCTAGTGTTGTCACCTCAACCGTTCCTTTTGAAAGATTGTTCCAGTACCTGATTGTCTTGGGCAGGAATGAGCAGCTCCTATACTGGCTTCTTGCTGGTATGAGCCTGAATTGCCTGTCATGGCCTCGTCGCTTTCTATGGGGGAGAGGGGCGAGTTTCTGTTTAATACTGGAACAGTGGACCAGCCCATTATTTATCTCGTACATCACGGAGAGCCTGGATTGTCGTCATCGTTTCTCCAATGGTGACCAGCCTAGTGTTTCTATCATGCTGCCAACACTAGAGATATTCCTGTGGCGGTTTAGGACAAAGCGTGCTGCTCGTCGCTGGACCGCCTCCAACCTGTCAATGCTCTTCTTGGTAAATGGGTCCCAGACTGAAGATGCATAATCTAAAACCGGACGGACAAAAGCTTTATATGCTCTTTCTTTTACACAGGAGTTGCCAATCTTTAGATTTCGCCTTAAGAACCCTAGGGTCTTGTTTGCTTGGTTACATACATTGTTAATATGCTCGTCCAATCGGACCTCTCTTTGAATGGTAACACCCAGGTATTTTACGGAGAAAACTTGCTCAAGAATATGGCCGTGCAGTTTGTATTGGTAGTGTAGAGGAGTACAACTTCTAGAGATTGATAGTGTCTGGCACTTGGCAGGGTGAAATTCCATGTCCCAGCTTATCTCCCACTCAGCTAACAGATTGAGATCCTGTTGTAGCTGGTCCTGGTCAGATCTGTTGGCGATCGTCCTATACACTGCTGTGTCATCTGCGAAAGTCTGGCCTGTGATGTCAGTTTCTTGGGTAGGTCATTAATGTATGCTAGGAACAAACTGGGGCCCAGGACTGATCCCGGGGGACCCCTGACTTCACATCAACAAAGGAGGCGCTTGTACCGCCCACCACTACTGCTTGGCGTTGGTGGCTGAGGAAGCTAGAGATCCATGTTTTAGTGGTGCCCTGGATCCCATATCTCTGGAGTTTGTGTAGAAGCAAACTATGATTCACACGGTCAAATGCTTTTGCGAAGTCCATTATTAGCACGTCTGTCTGCACGTGGTTCTCCAGATTGGTCATCAGGTCTTCTACAAATTCGAGAAGCTGGGTCTCACATGATCTATTGACTCGGAAGCCATGTTGACAGTCATTGAGTATATTTTGGCTTTCAAGATGCTTCATGACTGTGCAGACCACGCTGGTGAGGGATATTTTAATATAATAAAGTTGATTGATGGACTAATATTGTTTGATAGACTAATGTTTTTTGATATACTGATGCTATTAACCAAACATACAAGTATACTTTAGATCTGCTTGAACATAATTTCACGCACGTGCAAATTTATTTCTTTTGTTACTTAATTTATTTTTTAAAATGATGATTGAGTTGAACTCAAACAAAGTACCTTGTATGAATGGTGGTATGAATGGTGGTATGAATGGTGGTATGAATGGTGGTATGAATGGTGGTATGAATGGTGGTATGAATGGTGGTATGAATGGTGGTATGAATAGTGGTATTAATTGCGGTATCAATGGTGGTATGAATGGTGGTACGAATGGTGGTATGAATGGTGTTATGAATGGTGGTATGAATGGTGTTATGAATGGTGGTATGAATGGTGGTATGAATGGTGGTGTGAATGGTGGTATGAATGGTGGTATGAATGGCGGTATGAATGGCGGTACGAATGGCGGTATGAATGGCGGTATGAATGGTGGTACGAATGGTGGTATGAATGGTGGTATGAATGGTGGTATGAATGGTGGTATTAATGGTGGTATGCATGGTGGTATGAATGGTGGTATGAATGGTGGTGTAAATGGTGGTATGAATGGTGGTAAGAGAAATACTTTTAAATCATAAAAACACTAGTGACCGGACCTGACCACAGAATGCACGATCGTTTGGTCCCAGTTTCAAAGTTTAGTTGTGTTGCCAAGGAAGACGAGATCTATCTCTTCTGGTTATTCGTCAGTCGGAAGTCGACCATGACCACTGTAATCATCAGAGTTTGTGCTAGTTCTGTCTGTGGGTGCGCAGATGGCTCATGAGGCCGATTATGGCTAGAAATCTTTGTTCCCCTGGTAGTGTAAGTAGGTAGCCATAAACAGATGACAAAAATAGACATTAAAATGTATTGATGGCATTTTTATAAAATCAGAATGATATCGTGGCGCATTGTTGCAAATGTTCACAGGCTGAAATAAAGAAACTGATTTTCTGTGTGACATCAAACTTCAAAAGAAAATGCTTGAAAATACTGGAACTCTTCGTGATCTCCTATTGCTTCTAGTAGTGAGTTACCTACCAGGTAAGACTTTCATGTTGTCCTATTGCTTCTAGTAGTGAGCTACCTACCAGGTAAGAATTTCATGCTGTGTTACTGCTTCTAGCAGTGAGTTATCTACCTGGTAAGACTTTCATGTAGTAACAGTTTATTTGTTTACTTCTGGACAATTATTGTTAAAATAATTAACTGTCAGTGAGATAAATTAATGATTTTGTATTTGTGAAATATAGGTATGTGTAGAACATCTCTTTACATTTAAAATAGATACTTGAACAGCTTCATTAAGATTGTTTAGTAATAGGATCATAGGAAGTAATGAAGAAGGTGATATTAAAATAATTACTAAAAATAACGTAGAGATAAACAAAATGTGACCAATATAAAGGTCTTTCGTTTTCTCTTTTCACACCTAGTTTACAACGGTTGCGTTGAGGCAACTAGAGTCTTTTTAGAACCGCTGACGTTAAAAAAAAGTTGCGAAAGCGGTATGGTAGCGAATCAAGACTATTTCGTCTTAAACGGTCTCATCAACATCAGCAACATTGTTAACGGTCAACATGGCGCTTTTACCATGTTTTATCGAAATCAAAGGACCGGAAAAGACGCATTTGTAAGTAACTGATAAGAACACAATGTTTGATCAAAGATGTTTTTCAGAAGCGTCAATTCCTGTTTTATAAATAACAATTATTGGCATCTTTCCAATTTTCATGAGACCAAGGAGAAGTTAACTGAAACTTTCTTGAATGGCTGATCAGATGATAGAATAGCTTAGTGACACATTCTTGAACAACTCATGAAACGATAGAGTAGCTTAGTGCCTCTATTAGTGACATTGTGTGCTAGATCGGTGAACTAGGGGGCAAGGTGACAATACAATGGATCCCCGGCAACGACAACGTCAGTGGCAACGAGAGAGCGGACACGCTGGCGAAAACTGGGGCTGCCCACCCTCAGCCAGAAGTACCAATGACTTATTTGGGAATGTAAAACTGGCTGGCGGATCATTTCAGGATGAAGTGGTACAGGCAATGGGGAGACAACACGACCGCCAGAGGCGTCTTTTCAAACTTGCCCACTCCTAGCAAACAAGACCCATGGTGGGGGTTTGGCCGCAGACAGCAGAGTTTAGTGGCGCAAATGCGCACCGAGCTTTGCCCGATTGGCACTTACTTCTGGCAGCCAGAAAACAATAGGGATCCCATCTGCCGGCATTGCAGCCTTGTCCCGGAGACACCAACGCACCTGCTGACCGATTGTCCCTCACTAGATTCCCCGGGAAGCCAGGGCGGTTGGAGAGCCCTTTGTGAGGAAAATGTTGTATGGCTCAGCTCAACAGATGGAGTTGATAGCCAATTTACTAGCTGGGGTCATAAGAGAGTAATCTCAAACTTTCACCAGAATATTTGTGTTAGTTAGTGATACATTCTTGAATAACTCATCAGACGATAGAGTAGCTTATCTCAACCTGATCTTAGTCAGCTAGATCCTACCACTCCCGACAGCCAAACCAGTTTACTTTGTTCGTGAATGTCTTTATCTCCACCTGGTCTGAGTTCGCTAGTTCCTACTACCCTGACAGCCAAACCAGTACACCTTTGTTAGTGATTGCCTTTATCTCCGCCTGAAGTTAGCCAGATCCCTGTCAACATTCGGGACCTAAAAGGAAGGGTGGGTGACGTTTGCTTTCATTTTACAATTTGGTCACAGCAGTCACATTGCTATGCCAGTTGCCATGGTTGCCATGGTTGCCATGGTTACATCTCATAACTCAAGAACAGTAAGGAAAAAATGTAAAATTAACTCCACAATTACGCATTTTAAAAAACAACTATGTCTAAGGTGAATACATTTTGCACTATCAAACCAATCTTTACAAGTTAATTATGTTTTATATTTAATATTACATCAGACTTCATTACTTCTAGGTAAGGACAAAGTGAGCAAGGAAGACACATTACCGAAAGACAAGGAGACATAGGCATAGTTTTGGATTAAGAAATGACACATATTACCGAAAATAACGGACGAATGGGATACTTTGGGAGTAAGAATGACATATATTACTGAAAGTCTCGGACAAATGACGATACATTTGTTGTAAACACGAAAGATATTACCAACAGGCACGGACATATTTTGATTCCTTGGTAGTACGAAAGACAGAGATTACATAAATGTAAGGAAAGTTGTAAGTAAAACGTGATTAAAAATACCGGATTACACTTACAATAGGCAACTATTTCATAAATGTAAGGAGAGTTGTAAGTAAAACGTGATTTAGAATACCGGATTACACGTCAAATGAAAACGACATTCGAGTTACGGGATTATCCAATGAAAACTAACAATAAAGTTACCATAAAAAAACAACAAAACATTGCTTCAACTTCCACATTTTCAAAATATTAAATCCTCATCAAAATATGTTTAGATTGATGAGTCCAGATTTTTGCTATACAAGAAAACCTGTAGTGACGTGGATAGCGTCAAGATCGACTCTTGTGACTGCACGTTCATGGATTCCAACTACGTCCGGCTCAAGTGCAACCTTACGGCCAGAACTCTTTACAGCCGCTCGCAGATAGCGTTGCTCTATTCCATGAGAGGCTGGTACTTAAGTACGGCTTTTCAGATGCCCCCTGTATACGGTAAGTCAATTGTTTAATATAAAAACTTATATCTGGTTACTTGTGCTTATATCTACTGACATCTGCTTACATATAATTACATCAGCATACATCTGCTGACATCTACTTAGACTACTTTCATGTGCTTTCATCTATTTAAATCTGCTTACACCTGCTTACATCTGCTTACACCTGCTTACATCTGCTTGCACCTGCTTACACCTGCTTACATCTGCTTAAACCTGTTTGCACCTGCTTACACCTGCTTACATCTAACCACATATGTTTACGTACTAGATAAAACAGGAAAACTCGTACAAAAACAAGTGTTTTATAACAATTAAATGTTCCCATTCATCTTTATTTGCGTTGTTCTTTGGTTGGATTGTTATGGCAGAGAACTGACTACATTTAAAATAGCTTGCATAATAAAAAAATAGCGGTATTTTGTATCCCGAACTTCTTAATAAAAGGCATCGTCGCATTATTCGTAAGCATCCATCAGCCCCAGCCTGCGACCCCATAATACCCCGTAGAATTATGAGATTAATGTTGTAGTTATTAAAATGCATTCACTGAGTATATCCAGGCGACTAATGGACAAGCAGCGTGGGGAAATTAAAAATCTTAATTACATCACCGTCTTTAAGATAACAAAGTGTAGAAGTGGCCACCATATTTTTGCCTGGAGTCTCGTGCTGTATATATATATATATATTGTAAGGAAACCTTGCTTACTCTCTGATTAACTTCATCTAGATCTGGTACTCAATAAGGAGACAACTCCAGCGATAACAATTGATGATTAAACTCGTGTTCTTTATTGGGCTGTCACCTTGCTTACACTTTCACTCATCTCACAACTCTGACTTCTCCCGGCTATCTAGTTCTCAGTCTTCTTCTTCTATATCTTAAGGGCCCACGATCAATTTATTGATCATTTTGGCTCCTATGCATGTAGATGGGATTTGCAATGTTTCTGTTACTGGTGGTGATGAGGAAATTATGCACTAGGGGTTTGAAGGCTTGAGGCAACAGTCCCAAACTTCTCTCAGGTTAGCTTATACCAAACCTAAAGAGGTCATTATTTTACTAATTTATTATTTTTAAAGTCTTATAATTTTTGTTAAAATGATAATTTTAATTAATCTAACATATCTAGATTTTGAAAAAATTAAATAATTGGTTTAAAAACAAAAATAAATAAAATAAAAAAACACTAATTACCAATCGGTTATCGTAAGTTGTAAACGAACTCTTCAAATTGTCATGTTCGAAATAATCATTTGTTCGTAAATCAAGAGCGGCCTGATTAGGATGAATTCAATCATGCGGCGTTCACCGTATCAGGAAATTTGATCGAAAGAAATTTCGTCGACGATAAATTGGTCGACGGTAATATGATCGAACGGAAATTTGGTCGAATCTTCTTTTCAATTTTTACGTTACAATTTTGCATCAAATTTCTTTTTGAACGAATTATTCTGTTTTACTAAATAGTATAAGAGAGTTCAAAAAGAAATTTGACGAAAATTTTAACGTGCGAACGGAGGAAAAAGATTCGACCGAATTTCCGTTCGATCAAATTACCGTCAATCAATTTACTGTCGACGAAATTTCTTTCGATCAAATTTCCGGTAACCGGCGTTCACAAGTGTCCCCCACCCCCTCCCCCCCTCCATTTGTTTTCTACATATGCGGGATCCACCCATGCATATAATTACCTACCTACAACGTGCGGGCGTTTGGTATCAGTGTTTGAATGATCAGTTAAGTTAAATTTACCTTTTATATGACGTCAAGGTGTTTGTTATTTTATACAGTTGTTACCGTTGGTTTGTTCGTTGAAGACGGCTTCTTGCCGACACGTTCGTTGTTTTGTTGCGTCATTTTTTTCAGGTATTCCCATACGTTTTTCGCTCATGTCGTTTTAGTTAGCTACCCTGGAACCGCCTCACCCACTTAAAGGCTTAAGATTTAACTTATTCATAAATTTGATTACCATCTCACCGCTGGATAGGTAGGCGAGTTACCCCCCACCCCCTCCCCCCCTCCCCCGACACGCTCTCTCATCGTTTTCTTTAATTAATTATTCAAGGAGTGACACACACGCACCTATACTGGATCGCGCCTACAAATTCACTGTCTCAGAACAATTTCCTGTGCATAGTGACGATTGGAAGAGGATTGTCAGTGCAGGAGCGATTTCTTTGGCTAATTCTTTGAGCACTCGTGGTTTAATGTTGTCAGGACCACATGCTTTGTAAGGGTTAATGGTATTGAGGAGGGCAAACACACCTTGTTCTGATATCTGGATATCTCCCATGATAGGATAGGCTCTGTTCATCATTTTGGTCTTCAGAAGGAACTCAGTCTCAGAGTACTCTCAACCGGCCGCCTTCTCTTTCCGTCCCGTCCAGAGATCCCTATTTATACCTCCCTGTCCCATAGCTCCTCTCCCAGTCCAGATTATACCCCGCCCCTTTTTCTCAATTGGCGCCAGGTTACAAACAGACCAGACGTCCCAGGTAAATGCCCTGGTCAGATTGATGGCCGGTACCGCCCCCAGCGCTTGATCCTTCGGTCGTGTCTGGGTGGTCAGATGGCCGTAATCCCTGGTCAGGCGCCCCAGCGCTTGATCCTTCGGTCGTGTCTGGGTGGTCAGACGGCCGTAATCCCTGGTCAGGCGCCGTCGTGGTCCGAACTCTCCACAATATATATATATATATATATTGTAAGGAACCCTAGCTTGCTCTCTGCTAACCTTCATCTATATCTGGCATTCACTAAGGAAACAACTCAGGCGATAACATTTGATGATTATAATCTTTTTCTTTATTGGACTGACACTTCGCTTATACTTTCTCTCATCTCGCAACTCTGACTGCCCTCTACTCATACCATCCGGCCGCGCTCTATATCGTCCCGTCCAGAGGTCCCTAATTATAAGTCCCTGGTTCATAGAGTTCCCTTCCCAGGTCTGTACTCGCCCCGCCCCTTTCCCCCAATCGGCGCCAGGTTACCAACTGAACAGACGTCCCAGGTAAATGCCCTGGTCAGATGGCCGGTACCGCCCCCGGCGCTTGATCCGTCGATCGTGATCTCTGGTCAGATGGCGCCGGCTGTACCTGTCAGACGGCCGGTAAACCCTGGTCAGACGCCCCCGGCGCCGTCGTAGTCCAAACTCTCCACAATATCCAGGCGACTAATGGACAAGCAGAGTGGGGAAATTAAACATCTCAATTACATCACCATCTTTAAGAAAACAAAGTGTAGAAGTGGCCACCATATTTTTGGCCTGGAGTGTCGTGGTGAATATATATATATTTATATATATATATATATATTGTAAGGAACCCTTGCTTGCTCTCTGCTAACCTTCATCTATATCTGGCATTCACTAAGGAAACAACTCAGGCGATAACATTTGATGATTATAATCTTTTTCTTTATTGGACTGACACTTCGCTTATACTTTCTCTCATCTCGCAACTCTGACTGCCCTCTACTCATACCATCCGGCCGCGCTCTATATCGTCCCGTCCAGAGGTCCCTAATTATAAGTCCCTGGTTCATAGAGTTCCCTTCCCAGGTCTGTACTCGCCCCGCCCCTTTCCCCCAATCGGCGCCAGGTTACCAACTGAACAGACGTCCCAGGTAAATGCCCTGGTCAGATGGCCGGTACCGCCCCCGGCGCTTGATCCGTCGATCGTGATCTCTGGTCAGATGGCGCCGGCTGTACCTGTCAGACGGCCGGTAAACCCTGGTCAGACGCCCCCGGCGCCGTCGTAGTCCGAACTCTCCACAATATCCAGGCGACTAATGGACAAGCAGAGTGGGGAAATTAAACATCTCAATTACATCACCATCTGTAAGAAAACAAAGTGTAGAAGTGGCCACCATATTTTTGGCCTGGAGTGTCGTGGTGAATATATATATATTTAAATATATATATATATATATTGTAAGGAACCCTTGCTTGCTCTCTGCTAACCTTCATCTATATCTGGCATTCACTAAGGAAACAACTCAGGCGATAACATTTGATGATTATAATCTTGTTCTTTATTGGACTGACACTTCGCTTATACTTTCTCTCATCTGGCAACTCTGACTGCCCTCTTCTCAGACCGTCCGAGTTCTCCTTGCTATGTCCACTTCTCTGTCCAGTCCTGTCCAGAGGTCCCTATTTATAAGTCCCTGGTCCATAGAGTTTCTTTCCCAGGTCTGTAATCTGACGCGCCAGCCCCTTTGATCAGTCGGTCACTACCCCCACCCCTGTCGCCACCAGGTTACCAACCAGTCGTCCAAGGGAAATACAATGGTCAGATGGCCGGTACCCTGCTGTAAGATCTGACGCACCCGGCCCTTTGATCAGTCGGCGCCTCCAGGTCCGAACCGTTCGAGGCCTTAACTCTCCACAATATATAGTATCCTTCCGTCCTCGCTAGACGATGTAATAGCTATGTATACTTCATCAAACGGCTCACTAGGCCAGTGCTAAAATGGTCGTCTCGGCTGATTTTCTCGCAAGACGGCCTTGACTCCTCGTTAAATTAGGACTTCCGTCTTGTTCTTCGTGGTGCAAGGCCGTCATTTCCTGCATCAGGATTCTTCTATCTTTTTGACTTCTTCATACACTGCTGTTTGACTCCTCCATACACTGCTGTTTGACTCCTTCATACACTGCTGTTTGACTCCTTCATACAATGCTGTTTGACTCCTCCATACACTGCCGTTTGACTCCTCCCTACACTGCTGTTTGACTCCTTCATACTCTGCTGATTTCCAGCTGGAACGGTGCTCAGCGATGATCTCCCATTCATTGAATTCCATTTTGTACTCCAACATACCCACATTGCAAACGTCCGTAAATGGCAAACACGGCCGTCCAATAAGTCTCAGGCGTAGCCGTCCAATAAGTATCAGGCGTGGCCGTGCAATAAGTACCAGTCGTGGCCGTATGACTCGTTCATACACTGCTGTTTGACTCCTTCATACACTGCTGTTTGACTCGTTCATACACTGCTGTTTGACTCCTTCATACACTTCTGTTTGACTCCTTCATACAGTGCTATCTGACTCCTTCATACAGTGCTATCTGAATCCTTCATACACTTTTGTTTGACTCCTTGAAACACTGCTGGTTGACTCCTTCCTACAGTGCTATCTGACTCCTTCATACACTTCTGTTTGACTCCTTCATACAATGCTATCTGACTCCTTCATACACTTCTGTTTGACTCATACAAACACAGCTGGTTGACTCCTTCATACAGTGCTATCTGACTGCTTCATACACTTCTGTTTGACTCCTTCATACACTGCTGGTTGACTCCTTCATACAGTGCTATCTGACTCCTTCATACACTTCTGTTTGACTCCTTCATACACTGCTGTTTGACTGCTTCATACACTGCTGGTTGACTCCTTCACACACTGCTGGTTGACTCCTTCATACAGTGCTATCTGACTCCTTCATACACTTCTGTTTGACTACTTCACACACTACTGGTTGACTCCTTCATACACTTCTGTTTGACTCCTTCACACACTGCTGGTTGACTCCTTCATACACTTCTGTTTGACTCCTTCATACACTGCTGGTTGACTACTTCATACACTGCTGTTTGACTCCTTCATACACTGCTGTTTGACTCCTTCATACACTGCTGTTTGACTCATACAAACACAGCTGGTTGACTCCTTCATACAGTGCTATCTGACTGCTTCATACACTTCTGTTTGACTCCTTCATACACTGCTGGTTGACTCCTTCATACAGTGCTATCTGACTCCTTCATACACTGCTGGTTGACTCCTTCATACACTGCTTTTTGACTCCTTCATACACTGCTGGTTGACTCCTTCATACAGTGCTATCTGACTCCTTCATACACTGCTGGTTGACTCCTTCATACACTGCTGTTTGACTCCTTCATACACTGCTGGTTGACTACTTCATAAACTTCTGTTTGACTCCTTCATACACTGCTGGTTGACTACTTCATACACTGCTGGTTGACTACTTCATACACTGCTGTTTGACTCCTTCATACACTGCTGGTTGACTGCTTCACACACTGCTGGTTGACTCCTTCATACACTGCTGTTTGACTCCTTCATACACTGCTGGTTGACTACTTCATACACTGCTGTTTGACTCCTTCATACACTGCTGTTTGACTCCTTAATACACTGCTGGTTGACTGCTTCATACACAGCTGGTTGACTGCTTCATACACTGCTGTTTGACTCCTTCATACACGCTGGTTGACTCCTCCATACACTGCTGTTTGACCCATTCATACACTGCTGTTTGACTCCTTCATACACTGCTGTTTGACTCCTCCATACACTGCCGTTTGACTCCTCCATACACTGCTGTTTGACTCCTTCATACTCTGCTGATTTCCAGCTGGAACGGTGCTCAGCGATGATCTCTCATTCATTGAATTCCATGTTGTATTCCAACATACCCACTTTGCAAACGTCCGTAAATGGCAAACAGGCCGTCCAATAAGTCTCAGGCGTGGCCGTCCAATAAGTATCAGGCGTGGCCGTGCAATAAGTACCAGTCGTGGCCGTCCAATAAGTTTCAGGCGTTGCCGTCCAATAAGTATCAGTCGTGGCCGTCCAATAAGTATCAGGCGTGGCCGTCCAATAAGTCTCAGTCATTGCCTTACAATAAGTATCAGGCGTGGCCATCCAATAAGCCTCAAGCGTTGCCGTCCAATTAGTCTCAGGCGTGGCCTTCCAATAAGTGTCATGCGAGGCCTCCATTAAGTCTCAGGGTTGGCCGTCCAATATTTCTCAGGCACAGTTGTTCAATAAGTCAGAGGCGTGGCCATCCAATAAGTCTCAGGCCAGGCCGTCCAATAAGTGTCAGGTGTGGCCGTCCAATAAGTCTCATTGTGCGGTCGTTCAATAAGTCCTAGGCGTGGCCTTCCAATAAGTCTCATTGCGCGGTCGTTCAATAAGTCCTAGAAGTGGCCGTCCAATATGTCTCATGCGTGGCCGTTGAATAAATCACAGCCGTGGCCGTCCAAAAAAATCTCGCCCCTTTGCCAACTCTCCTTACAGCAGTTCCTATGAAGTACGGCCTTCCTTCAATCTACGCACATGGCCTAACCAGCAAATGGCACCTTGCAAAGGTCTTCGTCGACTTCACCATTCAGAGGAAGACATTATCGACTATTTCCAATATAGGTCCTACCTGATGACACTACTTTCATCATTCCTTCAAGGGGTTAAAAAATATTACCCGTGCTAATGCCTTCAGGTCACAATGGAGCGACAATGATGACAGGACCAAACTTATTCTAACATATCATCATCACAGTCTAATAGCCAAACGAATTACTACTCGTCGACACAGTCACATACACAATTTTCTCTTCCCTGCCATAAAAATCTGCTAAACCCCCCACTGTGGAACCAAGTTATGTGGATGCAGCCGTTGCAACACTTGTCCTTTCGTCGTCCAGACTCCAAGCATTCCTTTCCATAATGGCAGTTTTTTAGATTCGGGACGGTTTCCTTTTACTAGCTGCAATGTTGTCTGCGCATTTGTTTGACATTGCTGCCAGGTGTTATACATAAGGGAGACAAGTCGCGACTCTCTGACAGATATAATTTTACACAAGATAAGTAGTGTCCCGTCTCTTGAAAAGAAGGGACCACAAGGGGCTGCGGATTTTGCTATAAGTGCGATCGTGACCTGCACAAACACACCAAGCCGGTTGAATTAAAAAAAACAAAAAACAAGCTGATCAAGAATTATGGAACCTTGACACCATAATGCATGAATGCCATAGTCTCAATCACCTGTTGAACTTTTGCGCCACCCCTCCTCGTCACGACCAATCACGTAGACTTATTTCTCCTTTTGTCTTTCCCTTTTAGCACGTATTTGGTCTCTCACACAATTATTTTCAGTCCCAATCCTCTTATAACCAAGTTCTAGTATAGTATTTTAATTATCATTAATGGTGTCTACAGATATTTTCATTAAGCGCGAGTGATTTCTGAGGATTCCACGGTTAGAAATGATGTCATTTCTTGAGAGGATGATCTCAGTAAAGACATAAAAATTATCCATTTCCAATGAGGACTGGAAGTTTTCAAAGATGACTCCCTCCATTAAAGGTTCTTCAAGTTTTTCATTAACACGTTTTAAAGCCCATCCACAGAGCGTGGTTCCACTTAAGGAATATTTTCCTAATTGTCACGAATGTTTTAGTCAAACTTTTAACAGTAATATTTTCCCCATACTTAGTATTCTTTGTAAACAAAGATAGTATTTAGGTCCTTCTGTCTTGTGAAAAAAAACGAGAAAATTTTTTGTCTAAAATCTCCATTGAAAAGAAAAACTGCAACTCAAACATTGAACCAAAAGTAATTTTTTAAACTTCGGCCTAGAGTACATTATACAGTGCGTCAAATGGATTTACATTAGGTTTTGCGGCCATTGAAGCTTGATCCCAGATAATCACGTTCTCCTTTTTCAGTTTATTTGCCGTATTGGTTCCATGTCAGATATGATATGTTGATTTTTCATTTATTGGAATAGGCAACCTGAAACGACTGTGGGAAGTATTGCATCCACACCCCCCTCTAAAGCATATTCGCTGATGTGCCTGTATACTGAAGAGAGTTCAGCCCAGGTGTTGGGCTAATTCAGACGCGTAGCAGATAATTTAAGACGTGGAAGACAGGGGATGTCAACGGTGCGGGGTAAACCCACAGTTGAAGACTGACCAACAAAGCACGCGCATAAGATTGCAGCAGACGCCGCGGAAAAGGAAAGCCACGAATTCGACAGTGACCGCAGATAAATTATGAAGACGTGGAACGCAGCGGGCACGGGTGAGGGGTAAAACCCACGGTCGGAAACTGGCGAATCACACGCGCAGAAGATTGTAGTAAACGCCACAAACCCAGAAAAGCACGCGTTTGACAGGAAATTGGTATAAATCAAGACTTTAGTTGGCAGGGGAGGTCATCAGGTAATCAAGTGTGAATTAGGGTAAAGCAGAGTGAAGGCGAGAGAGCCCGAGTAAGTCGAGTGAGCGAAGCCGGAGTGAGTTAGTTGGACTGAGGGTGGGCCGGACAGTCAAGCGGTCAGTCATAGACATGAGGGGACACTAACCCGGGACAGTCAGAGCAGAATTGCCAGGTCTTGATTGTCACAGCCTATAAACGGGAAGTCTAACAGTCAATGCGTGTTGCAGTAAGACAGACAGGGTGAAAGAGGTTACCATCCACAGAAAATAGATTGAGAAACGTGTTGAGATAAGGTGGATTTCCTTGCAATATGCACATAGCAAGACTATTTCATTTTGACAACACCCATAGTGGAAGATTGTGTTATAAAGGACGCACACGGTGCTTGATTGTGTTGTAAAGGACACACTGTGCATGATTGTGTTGTGATGGACGCACACGGTGCATGATTGTGTTGTAAAGGACGCACACTGTGCATGATTGTGTTGTGATGGACGCACACGGTGCATGATTGTGTTGTGATGGACGCACACGGTGCATGATTGTGTTGTGAAGGACGCACACTGTGCATGATTGTGTTGTGATGGACGCACACGGTGCATGATTGTGTTGTAAAGGACGCACACTGTGCATGATTGTGTTGTGAAGGACGCACACTGTGCATGATTGTGTTGTGAAGGACACACGGTGCATGATTGTGTTGTGAAGGACGCACACTGTGCATTATTGTGTTGTGAAGGACGCACACGGTGCTAGATTGTGTCGTAAAGGTCGCACACGGTGCTAGATTGTGTCGTAAAGGTCGCACACGGTGCTAGATTGTGTCGTAAAGGTCGCACACGGTGCTTGATTGTGTTGTAGAGCTCCCCTTCCATATCCGTCATTGTGAAACCTCGTCCACTTTTTAAAAGGGGGGTTGATGCTGTTAATCGGGTTTTTTTGAGCTTGGCAAAAGATGTCAATACAAAAGGGGATATTGCTCATATTAATTTAGGAATAAGTTCTAGTGCGATGTGTTTACTACAACGCGGTATTTTAATTTGAGAGCACAGCATGATTTATTTCCACAATGGAATTAAAGACATTTATAATCTCATACTTAAACTGTATCTTTCAGAGACTCCTGGGTGCACCGATCCTTCCACTAATCGAGGTATCGAAATAATGGTGTTCTCTTAAACGTAACTAGTTTTAAAATATATTTTTGTAATAATGTGTTTAAACATTTTTTTAAGTGTTATATGCAAAGTAAAGAGCATGAAGGATGGCTACTTAGTTTGAGATTGATATCAAGATATTTTGAAAGGACCAGGGGGAAAAATACTTTTCAGAAAATGAAAGAAACAAAAATCTTTTTTCCCAAAGAAAACCTTTGTCTCTATTCAAGTTTGGAAGCTTGTCAATAAAACCATAGAATTGTAAAAATTCATGCAATCTGATAGGGAACCTTTGTTTTTCTATTGCAGCAGCCAGGAATCATCCCGAAAGCTTCACTGCTCTACTTGGTATGTGACAGAGAAGTTATTTTAAGTATGTTTAGAGTAGGAATACACATTTCCAAACATATGTGGACTAGGTAGATTTTATATAAAAATTTCCAGAATAATCGAACACACTCACTTGAAGTTGGTGTTAACAAATTTGGTTGAATGGAATAAATAATATTTTTACCTTACTAACATGTTGAGCTTTATAGTACATATATTAACCATGAGAAACAGTGTAAAGGGGTTAGCTGATCGAGTAAAAGAGTCAGCCGATTGGTGTCACGAATGTATTCTTGTGACTCCGTTGTCTTGGGGTATTTGATAAACACTGTACACCGGTAATTGAAGACTTGACACAAGAGTTCTTGCGGTTATTAATAATGAGCTGTATTATATTATCTACCACAATTTAATCTAATTATTTCTCCCATAATTAATCCATAAGTAATGTGGGTTCCGCAAACAAGCTAAGCCAAAGAACCACACATACTGCATGGATCACAAAATTACCACTCACTACCTCTACGACTAACACCAGCTGACAATAACACTAGCTCTGATACAGTATGCGTCCTACGACACTCGCTCTCACCTACTCTACTGACTCACTGCCCACCTGCTCAATAGACCCCCTAAAGTAGCCCCTCCCTTTATGGTATTCCTACGCCTATAATCCGCATGGCACAAAACAGACGCTCAGGGATTCTAACACCTTGACAATTGGTGTGAAGATGTCAGCTGAGTGGTATAAAGGAGTCAGCTGATTGTTCTAAAGGGGTCAGCTGATAGGTGTAAATGTGTCAGCTGATTAGTGTAAACGTGTCACCTGATAGGTGTAAAGGTGTCAGTTGATTGGTGTAAAGGAATCAGCTGATTGGTTTAAAGGGGTCAGCTGATTAGTGTAATGGGGTCAGCTGATTGGTGTAAAGGAATCAGCTGATTGGTGTAAAGGGGTCAGCTGATTAGTGTAATGGGGTCAGCTAATTGCTGTAAAGGGATCAGATGATTGTGTAAGGGGTTGGCTTATTGATGTAAAAAATATTTAAATTTCTATAACCCTGTCAGATTTTTTCAAACTTTAATGTTTTACAAAATTATCACCCCGTCTCAAATCTACCATTTTTTTCTAAATCCTAGAAAAAGTCGTTCTCCCAACTGATGGATCACCTCATTCAGTGTGACTTGTTTGAACCTTTCTATTCAGCATACAGGGCGCATCACTCTACAGAGACAGCACTTGTGCACGTTGTAAACGACCTTCTGTCGTCTTGTGATGACGGCTTGGTATCCCTTTTGTCTATACTCGATTTATCGGCAGCTTTCTATACGCTTGACCACGTCATACTGCTTCAACGTCTGCAAAAAACGTTCGGTCTCACAGATACCGTCCTGAGATGGTTTTACTCGATTGTGAAAAAATCGGGTCCAGTCAGTTATTTCAAACGGCTTGACCTCGAAGCAATCTATAATTGAATTTGGAGTACCCCAGGGCTCGATCCCAGATCCGGTGCTTTTCACTATGTACGTTTAGTCCCTGAGGGCAGTGATCAAGCAGTTTGACATGCTGCATCACATGTTCGCGGACGATACACAACGTCATCAATCCGTGATCCCCTCTCAGTTCCATAAACTTCTTAGTACGACACAGAAGACAGCGGAGTCAGTTAAGCACTGAATGACCATAAACAAGCTCAAAATGAATGATGAAAAGACAGAGCTTCTTCTTCTATATCTTAAGGGCCCAAGATCAATTTATTGATCATTTTGCCTCCTATGCATGTAGATGGGATTTGCAATGTTTCTGTTTCTGGTGTTGATGAGGAAACTTCACTGATTTCCAGTGCCACTTGGTGAGGGAATCATGCACTAGGGGTTTGAAGGCTTGAGGCAATAGACACAAATGTGTCTAGTGTTATCGCCTCAACCGTTCCTTTTGAAAGATTGTTCCATTCCCTGATTGTCTTGGGCAGGAATGAGCAGCTCCTATACTGGCTTCTTGCTGGTATGAGCCTGAATTGCTGATCTCCTTTGCCACTGCTCAGAAGCAAACATCTGTAAATAACACAACATCATTTACTCTCACTGGTGTGCGGATTGAGTTTTCTCAAACAGTGCGTAACCTGGGTGTCTACCTAAATAGAGCATTAATTTTGGAAAATCACATTAACATTCTATGCAAGGGGATTTTTATAGAGCTGCGCAGGATTAATCATATCAGACCTTTCTTAACGTTCGATGCATCAAAGAGACTGATGTCTGCATTCCTGCTATCACGCATGGACTACTGCAATGCTCTCATGGTGGGTCTCCCAGCTACGCTCCTGGATAAAATTCAAAGAAGAGCACAGAATACTGCGTTTCGCATTGTTCTTCGCAAACGCAAATTCAAACATGCTAAAACACATCTGAGAGAGCTGCACTGGCTGCCAGTCCGCGCTGGAAAAGAGTACACAATTGCAACTTTGTGCTACCGCTGCTTACATGACCTAGCGCCATGCTATCTCAAAGCTCCCATGCCGCCTTAATTATCCAAACGACAGCTCCGCTCCCCCGATAGTGGCAAAATATCGATACCGCGTCATCGCCTTGAGACTTACGGAAAGCGCATTTTTATATTTGGCGGCCCAACAATTTTGAACGCCCTGCCAGTCGCTCTCAGAAACAGCCAGACATTGGAGACCTTTAAAACCGATTTAAAAACACATCTATTTTGCAAGCACCTTCTGATGTGATGCTGTCTATCATCTTTATCAAGTAAATGTATATTGGTTTGTGTTGCTTATGGTTGAAATGGGATGAAAGACTTGGTATGCTTGTATGTAGTTTTATATTGTTGCGTCTCTTTTTAAATGTGATAAATTTAAGACTGTTTTTATTTCTCTTTTTTTATATGGTTGACTTTGTACCGCGCTTCGAACTTTTGGGGATGAAACGTGTTTTTCAAATGAAATTTAATGTTATTTATTATTATTATTATCCAACTCCATCTTTTCCTTATGATATCATCAGCAATAGTCTCCATGTATGTCTTTTCAATAAAGTTATTGTTGGTGATATGTTTTTTGTTTACTAGATTATCAGAATCTTTCTAAAGGACAAGCTTTTTCAGCGAGATGTTCACTGGTGTACTCCAAGGTTCCGCTTCATAGAGTGGGTCTGTTTTGACGTTTGTTTACTAGCTTCTGATTTTATTTGAAGAGTCAGCGCCTTTGACTCCGAAAGTTTCGGTAATAGCGCTTATGCTGACATAACCTTTCCAATTCTACACTGACAACCGCCTCGGATCCACCATTTATGTCAAAGGTGCTGCCTAAGTATGTAAAGGACTTTACTTCTTCCAGTGCCAGAGAAATATGCTCTTAACTTGTTTAATTTATTTTGGATCTAAGCTGGTCTGAAATTTTAGGTTTAATTTTTTTTTCTTCCATTTTTGCAGGTTGTGAGACGAAAATCCAATACCATCTTCTAAGTCCATGTCATTCAGTTAATCTTAGAAAGTCCATTGCTTCCTGTTCCTCATTTGTGTGTGGATTATTTCACTATCCTTTCAATGGCTAGGTTAAATTGATTTGTGGACTAAAGACATCCTTGTCTGACTCCCGTTTCCACTTCAATGACCTCGGTGAATTTACTATGTAGAAACCTGCATGCTTTTTCTCCAAAAGAACTCCGAAGAACCCTAATTAGTTTTCATGGTACCTCATAATGCTGAAGAAGCTTCCATAAGGTTTGTCCGTCAAGGCTATCAAGGGGCTTTTCTTAGTCGATAAAATGTAGGTATATGGATTTCTATTCGATGGCCTGTTTTACAATGATTTTTAGTGTTGCAATTTGATCTGAACATGATCTATGTCGACGAAAATCAGCCTGGTGATCTCATACCTGCGAGTTGAATCGGTCCTTCATTCTTTCAAAATTACAAGGTTAAAGACATTTGCTGGTACTGAAAGAAGTGCAATTCATCTGCAGTTGTTGAGATCCTTTTTCTGTGGAATTTTGAAGAGGTATACTTCTTTTCAATCTTTTGTAACTCTTTCTATTTCGCTATTGTCTTAAACAGGGTGTGCAGCCTGTTTAATATTGTATTTTTAGCTTCTCTCATCATCTCTGTTTTAATGTTGTTCAGTCTTTCTTATATCCTTATTTTGAGATGCTTGATAGCCCAGGCTCTTTCTTCCTTTTTTGGGACACTGTCTTTCACTTGTAAATTTTCATTAGCTTGTTGTAAATCTGTTATGTCTGTGGGGTGAAGGTCATTTTTAATTATTCCTTTACGTATCTCACACACATTTTTTTGGTGTTCTTTCTTCCGTTACTGTCCACCTTCCTTGTTTTAAATCGGTCTATCTTCTAGTATGTTCCTGAACACCTCCTTGATTATTTGTTTTGTCGTGCAGTGCCTGGAACTTATTTCTTAAGTTAACAATGCATTCGTGTTTTTTTCGCTAGTTTTCCAAAAGTGCTCTGTTGTAATTTTTATTAACAAAAGCTGGCTCAGGTTTTCTCCAGTTTTAGCTCGAGTCTTGCCCAAACTAAAAGGTGATCGGATGGAAAATCATCACTTGTTTTTGCTCGTAGATCTGGTTGAGACTTTGTGATATTTTAATACATACTTGATCAATTTGGTTATCATTTCTGTTATCAATGGACACATAAGTTACCTTGCAGATATTCTTATTCTGGAATTCGGTGTCCCCAATTACGAGCCCTATTTGACGTGAGGAAGTCTTCCAGTCTCTCACCGTCCTCATTCTCTTTCATATACCATGCCCCCCCCCCACTAATTTCTTCGAATCCTCTGTTTTATTTTCCAGTCTTAGCAATTGGATCTCCGATTATGATATTTAGATCTCGACTTGGAGATTATCCAGAATGTTCTGTAGTCTATTTTGAAATCTTTCCATCTTACCTACCATCCAGTTGCGTAGTTAGTGTTGGCGTCACCATGTGCGGTAAAATCGTGGTGTCATCCCCAATATTTCATGCTTGAATTTTTCTTGTTAAAATATGTCCATAGTATAACAAT